ACTAACTCATACTAATGTGTAAATGACTTACTGTACATTCATCTATACACACAACAAACACAAATTGCATCACTTATGTGTTAGTTTGGCATTATTCTAGCAGCCAGGGATATGGCAGAGAGGAAAAAAAAAAAAAGACAAGTTTTCTGCTCTCATAAAGTTTACATTTCAGTGAGGAGAGTTAGACAATATTTATTTGAATAAATAAATAAACACAGGCAGAAATAAATTCAGAGAATAAGGTGATTTACTAATACAGAAGAGCTGGGAGACCAATTCACATTGCATGGCTAGGAAAGTTCTCTTTAAAGAAGTGCGATTTAAGATGAGATGTAATGGAGACAAAGAGCCAGTCTTGTATACATGAAGGAAAGGGCGTTTTAGAAAGCTAGCTCAGCCCTGAGGAAGGAACGGACTTGGCGTGTGGAGGACAGTAAAAGACTATGGGGCTGAGGAACATGGGAAAACACGGAAGATAGCAGAGCTGAGTCACATAGGTCTTTACAAGCCAGAAGGATGCTTTTAAGGTTTATTCCAAGCGAAATAGGAAGCCCTTGAAATGTGGCCTGATTTATATCTTAAAATAGTCTATAGCAGCCCAGCCAATGTAGTTCAGTGGTAAAGTGTTGACCTATGACCCCAGAGGTCATGACTCGATTCCTAGTCAGGGCACATGCCTGGGTTGCAGGCTTGACCCCAGGTAGGGGGCGTGCAGGAGGCAACCCATCAATGATTCTCACATTAATGTTTTTATCTCTATCTTTCTCTTCCTCTCTTAGATAAAAATATTGTATATTTAAAAAACAACAACAGTCTATAGCAGAAGCATGAAGAGAGAAGGCTAGGGCACAGGTCTGAGTGACAGAGAACTACTGTCTAGACCAGAGGGTAGTGGTAGACAAGGAGCTAAGTGGATTTGACCAAGCTGGAAAGATCTGCAATTGTTTTACATGGACTGACTGCGGGGATAAGAAAAAGGAACCAAAGTCACCTGGTTGGATGATGGCACCGTTTTCCCAAGAAAAGCAAAATCTGGGAAAACATGGTTTGGTTGAAGGACGCTGAGCTGAGGCAGTGGAAATCAACAGTTCTATTTTGGACATGGTAATTTTGAGCTGCAAATTACACATCTGGCATTGATACAGGGAAGGCAGTTGGTATATGAATCTAGACTTGGGACATTTGAAGCTGGAGATACACATTTGGTAATGGTTGGCATACTGATGGCAATGTGATGGCCCAGGCCAGGGAGCAAGGGATGAGAAGAGAAAAGGGCTGGAGACCAGGCTTTGGCTCACCCCAACTGCAATCTACATTTTACTTTACAAAAATAAACTTTAATCACATGGCTGCCACACTTTCAAGAATTTATAAAGACAAGAGATGAACAGAGGTGTAAAGAGACTGTTAGGACTCTTCTCCAGGCCCATAGCTCTGTAAAAGGTGATTCAGGAAAAGCAGGTCCTTCCTCTACTAACCTGTCTGGGTCTTGGAGCTCTCTATGCATACCTGAGGTTAAGGGGAGTGTACATCCTCAGGAATCTTTCTCTGCCAGGAGGTTAGAATGAGCATTTGGTCCCCTGTTGGTATGAGGAGGAAGCTCTGTCTCACCTACAAAGTCATAAGCTCTTTTCCATTATGGATTTTCAGCAATTTGGTAAAAAAAATACTTCAAATGATATTTAATCCTGCCTTCAGGCAGGGAATGTTTCCAATGCCCTTCAGGCCATCACAAGCTAAGAACCCAAGACTCCGACCTAGAAAGGGGCAGCTGTGAATGGAACACTCCCTAGGAGCTCTTCTCTTTCAGGAGAAGGGTCAAGACATCAGCCTAATGCAGGCGTCTTCAAACTTTTTAAAGTGGGGGCCAGATCACGGTCCCTCAGAGAGCTGGAGGGCCGGACTATATGAACTACTAATTCCTACTGTAACACCTCGGCTGCGCTCACTGCCCAAAAAACCTGGCTGGCCGGATCAGACTCCTCTGCAGGCCGCATGTGGCCCGCGGGCTATAGTTTGAAGACGCCTGGCCTAATGGATGCATGCAACAGACTGACAGATCTTAGAGGGAAAGAGAGAAAGGAGGACAGGTAGAGATCAAGCAAAGAATACACATGCATATATGCATAGCTCATGGACAGTGACAATAATGTGGTGAGGGCCTAGGGGATGGGCAGGGCTGTGTGGAAGGAGGCAAAGAAGTTATGGGGCCACAGCTATAATAGAGACAACAATAAAAAGAAAAGAAAAACAGTTTTGCTTCATATATTTGAATTCTAATGCTATCTTGAAATAATAAATATGTACTGAAAAAAAAATAAAAAATAAAAGACAGCCTAGAGCCAAAGTTGGGCCTCAGGACCAAGGCCAGTTAATAGCAAAGAGGAAGAGCGTTCCTCATCCTTCCTCTGCCTGAAGCAACTGGGCTTTGTCATCGGGGGAACAACAGCATTCTTTTTTTCTCTTTCTTTTTTTTTTTAAATTCTGGAGATAAAATAAAGCACTGCTCGGAATCATCAGCGAGGAAAAGTCAGAAATATTATGTTCATTCAGCATCTCGTTCAATTTGCACAGCTGCTTTTTGACAAGAAAAGTCTGTTTATATAGATATGATTATTTGCGATTGCCTATGAATACATTGTTTGGGGAGCATGCTGCACAGCTAATATTGGAACAAATTAGAGAAATTCTCCCAACAGCAGAGCAAAGAAATGTGTATCCCGATGGGAAGAATTTACGGTGGTGTAGGGAAAGCATTTCGGCAACAAATGAGACTGTTGTATTCCCCCCAACAGGCTTTCTTACCTCTTGATGACTCTCCCTGGGAACTGAGCTGGTTTTAAGTGGCAGAACAAATGATCCTCCAAACCCTGAGGTTTACTGTAATCCACATTTTGTGTTACAGAAAAATATATTTTAGTCCTAGGATGGGCACACCATCCAAAAGCATTCGTACAAAAGATGCCGAGAGCCATTTTGGAAGATTGGTGTTAGAAAAAGGAGCCAGTTTTGAGATATTGAGATGAGACATTGAGAAATTAAAAAAAAAAAAAAATTTTTTTTTTTTTTGAACAAGGATTTGATGTAGGAAAAGCATTTTTTCTAAATCCTTTTGAAAGCAAGAGATGCATTCGCTAGGACCAACTGCTGACTTTGAATAACTGTGACGGGGGACCTAGTTTTCCCTTCATTACCATAATTTGAACATGTTCTCCTCAAGGTTAAAGCCACAGTCAACAACAGTATGTGCTAATCTGGGCACCATTTGACACAGTGACTTAAGCCTTAGGCAAAGTAGACCCCAAGCATTTAGTTCTTTTGGTTGTATATATGTTCTATAAACAAAGCAACTTAAAATATGAGTATTTTACATTTTCCCCCTACTTGGTAAATTTCTGGTCATTTCTGGAAAAAATTCAAAATAAAGACCAAACGTGGAACTGCTAGAACAGAGCAGAGGTTGAGAGGCAGCCTGCCCTGCTCGGAGGATGGGCAGTTAGTCAACTGGAAGACTTTGCATAGCTCTGCTCCCTAGGGCAGGAGTAAGGTTCTAAAATCCCCTGGCTCCCTCATCAACTCAGTTGGACGCCAAAACCATGCCAGAAGTCTGAACAAACATGCCAGTCCTGTGATTATGACCCCCAAATTGTCGAACAGTTGGGTAGCACATATGCCATGGCTGACCAGATACATACTGGTCAGACCCTCCTAAGCTATGCAACATAACTATTCACAAAAGCTACTATTTTATTAAGTTCCTTCCATGTCCCCGAAGCTTTACTAGTTGTACAATATATAGGTGTGTTTTTTTTCCCAGTCCTTACTGCATTTCTAAGTATGATTATCCCAATTTTACAAATAAAGAAACTGATGCTCAGTCACTGAGAGGATGTGTATCTGAGTGGAAAACAACTAGAGCATTCTAGCAAACAGACATACATGATTTAAACTGTACTTGTTTTCAGATTCAAAACCAAAAGCCAAGGTTGCTAACCATGGCAAGTAGAAATCACAGCATTTACAAAAGGCTGTGATATCTATGGAATGTTGAATGGTACCATTACCTGGGCTGTATTTCCCCTTAACTCCTGCCTTTCCCCCAGGTCAAGTACTGGAACACCTGTCCTTGACTTTCTACTTGGTAGAGAATGCGGGGTGCTCAAAGTTAATACCGTACATCTGTCAAGATGTCAGCTAGTGCTGAGTAAGAGGCCCAGAACTTCACTTACAATAAGCTCCGATGTGCACCAGAATCACCTGTGAGCTCAAAACACACATTTTTTGGCCCAGGCCTTCTGATTCCATAGGTTAGTGGTGGGTCTCAGGCATTCACATTTTTCTTTTAAAGAAGCTCCCAGGTCATTTTGATGCCCACCAAAGTTTTAAAATTACTGCTGTCCATGTCATGTTTGGGAGGATGGTGTCTTACAGAAGTCTGCACCACCATAATGAGAGGACAGTTGTGGGCTGGAATGCATGAAGGGACATCCAGGAAATGTGCACTTTGTGAAGTTACTTTTTCCTGTCCCCATCAAGGTCTGCCTCTTTATTTACTCCCATTAATACTTGAACCAAGAAAACATTAAGTCAGGTCTTCAGTTAAGTATTTATCATAGTTACCCAAGGAATACAGAGTTTCAGGGAAAGCATCCAAACTTTACTAATTATATAAAAGGTGGAAATTTTGTTCTTGAACATGATTCTGTGATTTTGTTTTGTTTTTGTCCTTTTGAAAGGACTAACTATTAGGAACCTCATCTACCAATCTATCCATCAGATCAACTTGCCCTCACCATGGAGGCCATGCTGCTGGCCCTCTGGCAATGCTTTCCTGTCATCATCATGATACCGATCAGCTTTCTAACCTTGAAGAATGCCATGTCTATGTCCTAGCAGTGACATTATTTATGCCTTTGGGCCCCTGTCTTTCAGAAGCCTGGTTTGTTACCGCGGAACTTGCGTTTGTTAGGCAGGATAAGGTCATAAGGCGTATTCCCTACCTGGTACTGAAGTTCCAAGTGCCACGAACACGACCGCAGTCACCGAATCTTTCAGGCCAATGGTACAGCCGAAGTGGGAAGCCAGGTCGCCAATGAAAGCTGTCAGGACGCCAATCATGATGATGGAGACAATGAAGCATGCCCAGCCGTTCCAGTATTCTGTGGGGGGCACGAAGGCAAAGAGGACCTTCCAGAACACAGTCAGGAAGTGCATCACGTAATCGAAGCAGGAGGGCAGCTTCTCCTCCCCACATTCGTCGTCGTCATCATCTTCCCCTAGAGAGAAAGGAAAGAGGCACATTTCATCACTACTTCTGCTCTCAGGGTCTCCCTCTCTCCAACCCCTCCTTCCCAGGCCTGTCACCCTCCCCTCTGAGTGACCCCAGAGGCCCTGAGAGGTGGGTGAAGCTCAGAGGTTTCTAAGAGTCAATCATAATGAAGAGATTATTGTATCATACTCAAGGTCATGCTCACTGTCATGGATTAATGGCAAAAAAGATTTAATCCCCTCCACACGGTTCTGGTTATAAGCAATCAACACACCCTTTCTGTTCTCCTGTCACCTCCGGGGAGATTTGTCACTTCAGAGAAATGCCAAGGATTTCTTCAAAAAGGCTGGGAAGCCCTGTGCCAGGCTCAGAAGGAAGCCAGTTTTGAAGGAAGGTAACTGACAGAATTCTTCCACCAGGATTATTTTCCTGGAACACATTGCTGTCTCCCAACTTCAGCTCCGGGCATTCAAGGGCCTCTAATCCTCAGAGGACAATGTTCACCCGGGGTGCTCCACCTCCGTGGCTCTGGGCCTGTGTCTCTCTCCAGCTTTATCTCCCGAAACTACTTCAAACTCAACCTGCATCCCAGCCAAACGGAATCACTTGCATTCTTTCTCAAACCATATGCACTTTCTCCTTTTGTCCTTTAGAACCAAATGTACTTGGCGTGTCCCAGTCCCCCCTCCTTACCCTTCCCCACGTGTCCTTTGAAACTCTCTTCCTTTACGAAACCTTCCTTAAACCCCCTGGCCCTCCAGCCAGTGCTGGAAACTCCTCCTCAGCTTCCGCTTGTAACACCAGACCAGTGGTTCTCAAAGTGGACCCTCACCGGCAGCGACATTACCCGGGAACGTGTTAGAAATGCACATTCCTGGCCCTACTGAGTCAGAAACTAGAGGGTGGGGGAGGGGAGGCGGCCCAGCAGTTTGCATGAACCAGACCTTATGTGACCCAGTCTCCAGATTATACCTGTTCACTTTGCCTCTCTTCCCCAGGTAACCCTTCAAGGGCAGGGATTTGTTCATTTTTGTGTTCCTAATGTTTGGCTTCTTTTCCATCATGCAGAACAAGCTGGCTAAAAGCTTGTGAAGTGAATGAATACATGCATTAATTTCTCCTGACGTTATATAACTACTTAATTGCGTAATATATATACGTCATCACTTTGGCAATTAGATTATACCTATCAATACGGAAAGAAATGCATACTGTTTAAATGCAGAAAGAAAGGCTTACCGCTTAAAGGAACCACGAAATCAATATAACTGTATTCGAAATTGGAGACTTCATTTATGGGGTGACATTATCCCCGTTCACATGTTTTTAAATCCTCCTTCTAAAGTGAGGGCGAACACAGATGCGTGTGTTTCGCAGCCATTCTAGAACTTCTCCTTGAGGCCTCTGCTCACCACTCCAGCCCCCAACCTCGCCCCCAGGGTCTAGTGTCCCTCATTCACCTGGTGCAGCTGGCGGCTGGGGAGGCTGTCCGACTTCCTGGAGGACTGCTGGACCCGAGACTGCCAACACAGAGCACATGTGAGTGCTCCCCGGAGACACTCCGTGGGGAGGCCCTCTGGCGCGGGCCATGTTGGAATCACCCTCAGAGGAGCTTGGAGGGAAATGTTCCTCTCACAAAACATGAAAAAGGGGAACGTCTGGGTTTGCCATCTGTCCCTTTACAGGGAGGGAGGAGAGGCAGTGGCTGACTCTTCCAGGAGGTCATGGTCAGGACTGCCATGCAAACAAACCTGGAGGATCTGGGAGAAAACAGTCTCATCCTGAGACTTTGGAAGGTCTCGCGTGAACTGCTGGGAGGAAACTGCCAGCAGGTGAGTGGGATCACCTTGGGAGACCAACCAAGTAGGGACTTAATTCAGGTCAGCTGAGTGACTCCCTGGAGCCAACAAGCATTGCTGACTGTGTTCAAGGAACTCACAAGAAGCCAGGAGGCCCAGATGGCTCTAATTCTTGGTAACCTATGGAAGCCTATGGAAGCAGGCTAAACCTGAGCCACAGGTGATTCCTGTAAATATACATCTAAGAAAACGAAACTTAAGAACAACCAATCACAAACAACCACCTTGACTTTCCCCCAAAAGGCAACTGCTTAAGCTACAGCCAACCGAATCTTGTCTTTGCTTTGCTTCCTGCTTCTACTCTGACAAAGTCTCTCTCCTACCTCCTGTGGGGGGAGCACTCCTAACCACTTCTGGTCTGATCCTGGCCAGTTCAAATCCATGTTCACTTAAATGAACTCGGAAAATTTTAATGTGCTTCCGTGTATCTTCTAACAACCACTTCCTATGGCACTCATGCTGTATGGTCATCACATATTTCTAATACCACCCTTGCCTAAAAGCAGAAGATGCTTTTAAATAAAAGTACGTATTATGGGTTGAATTGTTTTTACCAAATTCATCGCCCTAAATCCTAGTACCTCAGAACGTGATTATATTGGAGACAAGGCTTTTGAAAAGATACGTAAGCTAAAATGAGGCTGATCCCAGCAGACAAGTATCTGTATAGGAAGAGGAAGCTGGGACTCACAGTGAGACAGCAGGGCTGCGGGCACACAGGAAAGACCACAGGAGGACACAGCGAGCAGGTGGCCCTTCCCCCTCCCAACTCAAGGAGAGCAGCCTCAGGAGAAACCAAACCTGCCAGCATTTTGATCCTGGACTTCTATCCTTCAGAACTGTGGAAAAATAAATTCTTATTGTTTAAGCTCCCTAGTCCGTGGGTCTGTGGTATTTTGTACAACGCTCCTCAGAAGCCTCCTGTGCCATAATGTTAATGTGTAGGAACAGCCATTCTGTGTTTCTATAACCCACTCCTTTCTCCTATCTTTCACACATTTCTTCTTCTTCTTCTTCTTCTTCTTCTTCTTCTTCTTCTTCTTCTTCTTCTTCTTCTTCTTCTTCTTCTCCTCCTCCTCCTCCTCCTCCTCCTCCTCCTCCTCCTCCTCCTCCTCCTTCTTCTTCTCCCCCCCCCCCCCCCTTTTCTTCCCATTTTCTTTTTACGCTAAATGTTAGCTCCAGGTAGAACTGTGAGAGCTGCAATTGTCAGGGTGAATTGAATGGATTGAGGAAGAAAAGAACCATGTTAATTCTTTCTCTGCCTCCTCCTTCCCTAGTTGCCTATTTCAAAAGGGGGTGGGGAGGTGGGGGCTGCATGTATCCCAGGAAAGCTCCGCAAAAGCACCAGACTTTCAAGTTATATCTATTTGTATCTGATCCTTTTAAATTTCCATGTTGGTGGACATTTAATGATTTCATAGGATAGATGGTCAACACAGTTTAGAAAACACTGAATTTTAATCAGTCATCTAGAAATACAGATGATTCTGCCAGACTCCACAAAATTACTTAATTTTAAGTGTCTACATCCATATTGTGAAGGTGAAAAGGGAACAAATCATGAAACTTCTCAGAAGAAATGACACATAAATTGGGAGTAGCTATTGTATTTGTCCTCAGGATGAAAATAATGACACCTTTCCTATGAGGAGCATGCCAGAAAAAAAAAAAAAAAAAAATAGGTCACCGCTGTAAAGTATTTGAGGATATTTCAAGATAATAGTTATTATGGTGGTTATTAGTTTCCTATAATTAAGGATTGTGACTGTATTTCCCTATCATTATTTAATTGCTCAGTTAATATGCTGGGTTATCAGGGGTTATATTCTAGGCTTTTAAAAACAAAATGTGCCTAGCCCTCTGGAATCAACCTCATGATCTATAAGTGTGTAATGAAAAATGAGAGAGAGAGAGAGAGAGAGAGAGAGAGAGAGAGAGAGAGAGAGAGAGAGAGAGAGAGAGAGATTTCCTCCTGTGGGTTTCTAGCATTACAAGGAATCTTAAATATTTTAATACTTATGTCTGGAATGGGAGGCGCATCTGTTTTATTGCATTTGAAAGTAGAAGTGGCTTTCCCTTCTTTCCCCTAGGATCTCATTGCTCTTTACAAATTTTAATCTCCAACTCAGATGTCATTTAAATATTAAAAACGACCACTGCCTGCATGGGTGATGCACAATTACCCTGTCTTGGAAAAGGACAAAGAAACGTGTTCATCCATCACCATCTGGACTATACTTAAAAGTGTGTTCTTTGCAAAGATGAATGGAGCATTAAAAAAATAAATAAAAATAAAAGCCGAGCTGGGAGCATCCTTTATGTGACAGTGAAGTTGACGGTAATCTGCTGGTTCTGCAGGCTGGCCAGCCCAGGGCACTGGAGGCTGTGCCATTCTTCCCAGCCCCTCTTCTGCATTAGCAAAGAGACAGGCAGGCAGGGAGGGGGGGGGGGAGGAGAGGGGAAGAAGGGGACTTTCCTTTTATAGGAGCCCAAGCAAAGGATCTTCTTATCTCAGAATCCTTCTTTTCAGCTTTATGGATTCTACTAATGGAAAGATAACAAAAAAGCTGTATTTGATTAATCAGCTCCATCGCCTTTTACATGGTTTCCTTGATACATGTTGGACCTCCTAAAAATATAACTACAAAAATAGCCGAATTGTTAAAGCTACAGTAGTGGAGAGAGGACCCCTTCAGCTGTGGATAGAACAGGGGTTGCACTGTCTCTGCTCTGGAGCATGGACATAGGCTGTCATCAGCATCAGTGATCACGGAAGGCAACCCCTGGGCTTGGCACCTGCAGGCGACATAACATCTAAAGTAAACAGAGATTAGTGTGCATCCCCGTAGAGATGCTTAGGGTTTGGCCTCAGGGAGAGCTTTGAGAAACAGAAAAAGATGCTGCTGGAGTGTGTTAGACACGTGGGTCAGAAAACTTAAGTTAATTTCTAGTTCTGATAGCTTGTTTAGGGGAAGACTCTTGACCTTCCAGAGCTTCAGTGCCTTATCTGTCACATGGACTTCCTAGCTCCCACATCACAGAGCCTTCTGTCATGAAGGCTAGAAGAGAAAACATCCAAGTCCTTTGTAAAACTGCAAACCTCTTCGCAGACAGATGTGCCATATTCCCTCACTGTTATTTGTCAGAAGGAAGGCAGTAATCAGTTTGACCCGAGTTTCCTGATTTCCCAGAATCTATGTTCTGCTTAAATGAAACATTATTGCTATAGCTTCTCCATGCTGCTTGATTGTAAGAGAAGAGAAAAAATAGAGGGAGAGAACATGATGGGGTGACCAACTAAGTGACAGACATTTAGCTAAATTTTTCCCCACGCCTGAGTTTTTGTTTTTGTTTTTAAATTTTTTAATTAATTATTTTAAATATTATTTTTTTAATTCTTACAGGAACCTTAAAGGTGGCATTATTAACCCCATTGTGCATAATGAAGAACCTGAATGAAATTTAGAGAATTTAAGTAGCTTTCTAAAAATAATGACACAGTTGGCAAGTGGCTGAGTTGGGATTTGATCTCACAGCCTGGGGACTATTTACTGCACACGATGCCTTGTTGAAGCAAGTTGAGGAGTATAGCATCTGTCAACGATTGATTCAAAGTTTGAGTCTGCAATTTCTTTCTGTGCCTAAATGCTATATAAAACAATGCTGCTTTTTTTTTTTTCAAGGAATGTGAAAACACTGCTTATGTTCTAAATTACTTTCTAAATATAATTTTTCTAGATGTGATATCTCTTCAGCAGTCAGTCACATGTTCTTTCTCAAGCTCTTGGGAACCAATTAAACCAGGAAACAAGACAATAAATAAAGGGAGGGCATCATGGTTGTGATCATTTTGGAATTTGGAATTTAAGTGCGACAAGTCCTTATTTTCATTTCTAGTTGTCAATGGTTAACTACCTAGTTCGGAATAAAATATCCTGGTTTGTATCTAGCTCTTCACTCTAGAATCAGCGAAACTGCCTATATTATCACAAATATGCAATGGGAAGTAGTTTGGGGAATGTATGCCACTGTTCAGTTGAGAAAATGTCTGACTTTCAATTCCTCACAGGTATTCATTTCAACCTATAATTATTAGTTCATTTTTACTCTACAAAGAGACTCCTCCACTATGGAACAGTGAGGATAATCAGAACACTTTCCAGAAGTATGAAAGGATGGCTATAGGATGATATCTGTGGTCAACCCCACTGTCGCCCATGTGACCTTATGAGCCCAACAAGTGTTACCTTGTGAAATACACAAACCATTAACTGGATCACTGAAGTGGTTTTCCACATTCTACATACATTGTTTTGGGCATGATTTCTTTCTAAAATTTTGTTCCTTTTTTAGCAAGTGGGGTTGATTTTAATTTTGTGTCTCTTTAGTTTATGAATACTGAAGTTGTCTTTAAACAAATGAACAGGTTAACTTGATGGAATGGGCTTCCTCCTCCATACTGATCACTTCCTTTTGCAACCTGATACATGGGCATTACAAATCAAATTATACTCTCCTGTTATGCAGTTTCATTTTTCTTCACTTTCAGAGGTTCTGACAAAATCATAAGATATTTAAGATAAAAGAGACCATAGCTATCAGCTAATTTACCCCTTCTCATTTTTAAGAGAGAGAGGAAAAAAAAGAGAACTGTGATTTAA